CCATTGTGGGGCAGTTTTCTGGGATGGGAATAAATTTTTTTTTTTTTTTTTTTTTTTTTTGAGACGGAGTTTCACTCTTGTTGCCCAGGCTGGAGTGCAATGGCGCGATCTCGGCTCACCGCAACCTCCGCCTCCTGGGCTCAGGCAATTCTCCTGCCTCAACCTCCTAAGTAGCTGGGATTACAGGCACGCGCCACCACGCCCAGCTAGTTTTTTGTATTTTTAGTAGAGACGGGGTTTCACCATGTTGACCAGGATGGTCTCGATCTCTCGACCTCGTGATCCACCTGCCTCGGCCTCCCAAAGTGCTGGGATTACAGGCTTGAGCCACCACGCCCGGCCTTTTTTTTTTTTTTTTTTTGAGACAGTCTCTCTCTGTCACCTAAGCTGGAGTGCAGTGGTGCAATCTCGGCTCACTGCAACCTCCGCCTCCCAGATTCCAGGGATTCTCCTGCTTCAACCTCCTGAGTAGCTGAGACTACAGGAAGGTGCCACCACACCTGGCTAATTTTGTATTTTTTAGTAGAAACAAAGGTTCACCATATTAGCTGGTCTTGAACTCCTGACCTCATGATCTGCCTGCCTCGGCTTCCCAAAGTGCTGGGATTACAAGTGTGAGCCACCTTGCCCAGCCAGATTTTAAAAATTATATTTCCCAACAGCTATACAGTCCCAGACTCCCCTGTAACCTTCGGAAGCCAAGGCCACGCCTGACCCCCTAGGTTCTACCGGCTGCATCCTGGAGAAACTCTCTGGAGCTACTGAGAGAGTAAATGGAGGCCACAGGCAGATGCAGGCTGTGGAGCCACAGATATATTAAAGAATAAAAATTATGTCACAGACTAAAGAGGTCTGTGACACTTTGACATGCTCCCCCAATCCCCAGACTTTCTGGGACTGGACCACTGGCCATCTGTAAGGCTCTGATTTCTAAGGAGTTTATAGCAGAAGTTTATACTGGAACTGGAATGAGTGTAGAAGTGGGAGCAAGGACAGACGGCTAAGGCAAAGTGAGCAAGCAGATGAACTTTGCCCTCATTGCCCCCTTCCTCCTATTACTGTTTCCCAATGCTCACTGGCCCTCAGGGTGTCCTCCCAGTGCCTGCAGGCTTCTTCCTTTTTTCTAAGGGGCTAGACTGCTTTATGTAGTGGAAGTAGCCCAACCCAAATCCAAGCTAAAATTTCCATTTTCAAAAAGGACTCTTGCTAAACTGCACATATTTTCACTTTATTTAGTACATACTAATTGAGCATATATGGTGTGGGAAACACTAATATATGTTTCTGGGAGAAAGGATAGGAGATCCCCAAATTAAAATCATGCAATCTTTGCGCTAAAAGGGATTTACTGTCTCTTGGGGAAGATGTTACAGGTAGTTAGGCATGAGCAGGGTAGGAGAGGGCTCTCCCCAACCCACTAGGAATGTCAGGTGATGGTTCGACATTTGTCACATTGCCTCTCTAAAAGTGATAAATTAGCAGCCAGGGAGAGGCTATTATCCTGAGTGTCCACACCTGTTGCCTGTTGCACTAAAATGTTGATTGAATGCAGATGCCAGGAAGAAGCAACTTCTGAGGCATGCACAGTAAGAGACAAAATAGCAGAGTATGACCTCCCAGGGCACTCCACCGGAAAAGGGAAGAAAGCCTCAGATGGGCATACATGCAATGTTCTTAAACACACTGTGCACGCTCACTTCCCAAGGGTAACCAAGGGTAAGGAGGGCACTGAACGTGCAGGCAGCCCACCTTAAGGGAAGAATCATGAGAAAGGGACCAGCCTATAAAGTTCTAGGATCAAGGTTAAACACTGCACTTGACCTCGGCCTGCTTGGGTCTCTTCCAAGCGTACTTTCCTTTCCTTCCTGTTCTAAAGCCTTTTTAAATAAACTTCCACCCCTGCTTTGAAACTTCCCATGGTCTCTTTTTCTGCCTCCTTTATGCCCCTCCGTCAAATTCTTTCTTCTGAGGAGGCAAGAGTTGAGGTTGCTGCAGACACTTATGGATTCACCTCGGATAACTCGGTTGCCTTTCACTGCTAACATATTTGGTGCTATGAGACTCAGATGTTTGCCACCCCTAACAAAGACAGACTAACAAACACACCAACCCCACAAAGCATGGAAAGGCCTGTAAGAAGGAAGTGTTTGCTGTGTACTGAGAATGGAACTGCTAGGCTAAGCGTTCCCTAAGTGGAAACTTTAACATATGTTGCTGGTTTTAAATCCAAACTTAGAAGCTTTTGGTCAGTGGTTTGAAAGACTTCTGAGAGAGTCTATAAGTCCCCAAATGTTTTAAGTGAAACTGAAACATTTCTGGTAGAGAGAGCATGGGTTCTGAGGCCATCTCAGAGTCCTACGTAGGGGAACACAGAGGTCTAGCTTCTTCCTCTCCACTAATCTGACCCTAGAAACTCATAGAAGTCTTCATAGAAGACTGGGCCTCGTAGCTTAACTGCTTTGCCAGATGTACAGTAACAGCAGGCTTCCTCTAGAGGTACAAGGTGTTCTCACAAGCCCTACTAGCCAAAGAATCTAAATCTTGGGGCTTGGGGTCCACTCAAAGAAGCAGGGTCTTTGGCACCTGCAAGACGTCCTCAGTTTCTACAGCTCCCATTCCTGGCCTGGAAAACCCCCAACAGTGCTCCATTTACCTGAGCTCACCTTTCATTGTCTGTTCTCATGGGATCTGGTTTTCCACTTTGGGAGGATTGTCCATCTGCTTAGACTTGAAAATGTTATATGAAATTTCAAGGTTGTAAGAACTGAGACTGAATATGAAAGTGGACAACAGGCTGGGCGTGGTGGCTTATGCCTGTAATCCCAGCACTTTGGGAAGCCGAGGCAAGTGGATCACCTGAGGTCGGGAGTTTGAGACCAGTCTGACCAACAGGAGAAACCTCGTGTCTACTAAAAATACAAAATTAGCTGGGTGTGGTGACGCATGCCTGCAGTCCCAGCTACACCAGAGGCTGAGGCAGGCGAATCACTTGAGCTGGGCAGGCAGAGGTTGCGGTGAGCCGAGATCATGCCACTGCACTCTAGCTTGGGCAACGAGAGTGAAACAATGTCTCAAAAAAAAAAAAAAAAAAAAAAAGTGGACAACATCCAGGCCATATATGACAACAGAACTCTGACTCAGAAACTCCAAAGGAACCCTCAAGTGAAGCCAAATCACAATCAAACCTCTGAAGCACTTTTCCCAAAATGGCCAGGACTTGGCTTGTGACTGCCCACTTTCCTGTTTTTTGACACCCACCTTTCCTTCTACACTTTTTTCCAACTCAAGACCAGAGAAAGCCAAATATGCTTCCCAAACCATCCCCTAAGATGTCCTGCTACTAGTTATCTCACCTCTAGCTTCTCCATGCCAAAACCCTCTAGTCAAGGAATACCCAGGCCTTCCCCTTTTTTTCTACTATGAAGCTTTCCACTCCCCTGCCTGCCTTTGATTCTCTGCCAAATGCAAGTGATGGTGGCTGAGCTGATATAGCCGGTTCTGAATAAGTGGCCTCTGTGTTCATTTTAGTGATCTTAATTTATTTCCACAGAACTCTGCAGCAGTTCCTTAGGTATGCGTGTGTCCTTCTGACCAGTTTCATGCAAATGAAATTTGCAAATTTAGCAAAGTGGATGCTGCAGCACTAGCAGCCAAGTAGGACAGGAAATTAAGCCTCAAAGATTCTGATGACATTGAAAAGCTGGTTTGCACTGAGCTGAACCATAGGCCCAGAGGAGGGTCAGTTAAATATCCCAGGCAGTGTTTGGGCACCAAGAATTCAGACTAGGAGTGTGGCTAAAAACAGATTCTTTCCAGTTGTATGGAGCCAGAAAAAGGGAGAAGCTATGTTTGGTGTAGAGACAGTGAACTTTGTAATCAACCTGCTTTTTGTTCACAAGAATCTAAGACCTTCTCAAGACAGCTCAGTAAAAAGGGATTTGATTTACAGATTCAGGCAAAACACATCAAATCCAGGAACAGGAATCAAAAGTCTTACCAGCTCCAGGCCTAGGAAGTCATGAGAGAGGAGGACTCTTTGGGCTGTGCCTCTGCAGCTGAGTGGGCTCTCATCTGTCTCTTCTGTTTTTCTCTCTTATGTCAACTCCATTCTCTCTGATGGGCAGACTGATTCCCTCTTAATTACTTATCAGCTTGCACCTGGCACCCAAAGTGGCTGCTCCAGCCACCAAGCCTGTTTCTGCTTCCAAGGGAAGCATCACACTTGTATGGAATAATCTCTATGCTTTTTGCTTCAATTTATCAAAAAAGTGGTATCTGTTTGCATAGCTCATCTGGTCCAGCCAAGCCACACAGGTCATAGGTCATTGGCCAGTCTCATGTGTGCATGTGTCCCTGCAGGTGATGAGTTATGCCTTCAGTCAGATTATCCAACCATGGATCAATCATTAGTGGCTAGGGGAACAAGGCCATGTCTTACATAAAGATGTGAACATGTTGGATATTATGAACATGTTCTATTATAGAAAGCAATATCATTAAATAACACAGATAATGACTTACACCCGTCACAATCCTTGCAAATGCCCACTAGGAAAAAAATGAATTACAGGATATGATAGTGTATTAGAGAATAGTAAAGGTTATTTCTAAAAAGATCCTGCAGAGGATGGAAAGAAAGAGGGTCCATGCAGAGAAGTCCAGGAAGGAGTTCCTGTCAAGACGATGGAACAGCTGTGGTCAGGATCCATAAGGAAATGGGCCAAACATGTTAGGACTTCCAGAAGGAAATAGGCTGCATGGCCCTTCCATTCTTACAATATTCAGTGTGGGTGGGACTTAGAGATCATCAAGTCCAGCCCTGTTGCACTTCAGCTGGGACTACTGAGGGTCAGAATGGCTGGTGACATAGCTGTGGTCACAGATTAAAGTTAGAACCAAGGCCAGAGTCCAAGTCTCTGTCTCCACAGCAGTCTTTCCACTATAGACTATTCAGAATTCCTTAGCCAGCTCACTCTTTCACGAAGGCAACTCCTCTCTTTCTAACGCTGGGGCTTTACACAATAGATACGTGGTGGAGAAGAGCAAGCCCCTCCTTGGTGGTCTTTGTTGGAGGACAAACTGCTCCTCAGCACAGCCCTCATCCTCTTTTCTAAAACTCCTCGAACCCTGACCCACACACCCCTGAGGACTCCCTGCATTCTGTTATTCCTCAGTGTATATATAAAAGGGTTGAGGGATGGAGTCATCACACTGCTCAGACTGAAGGGACCTTGTTGATCTCCAGATATTCTTTTTGGGAGGGGGTCACATAGACGAACATAGTGATGCCACTAGAAATGATGACTATGGTCAGGTGGGAAGCACAGGTATTAAAGGCTTTCTTTCACTTGCAGAAGGAATGCACACTACTGTCAAGACAATGTACATGTAGGAACAGGCCACGAGGACTATGCAGCACAGGATGACCACAGAAGAAAGCATAAAATCCATCAGCTCGATGGCAGTGGTGTCTGCACAGGCCAGGGCCAGCAAGGGTCCGCTGTCACAGAAGAAGTGGTTAATGATGTTGGAGCCACAGAAGGGCAGCTGGGAGATGAGGATAGTTGGAAAGAGCGCAGAAAGGAAGCCCCCCCACCCAAGAGAACACAACGGTCCCAATGCAGACGGGAGGTCTCATGATGGTGGTGTATCGCAGGGGACAGCAGATGGCGGCGTAGCGGTCATAGGACATGACCATTAGCAGGAAGAACTCAACTGTGCCCAAGAAGAAGTAGAAATAGCACTGGGTGATACATCCGGCAAAGGAGATGGTTTTATCCCCAGATCCTAAGTTGGCCAACACTTTTGGGGAGATGACTGAGGTGAAAAGGATGTCCAGAGGAGAGAGGTTGCACAAGAAGTAGTACATGGGGGTGTGGAGGCGGGAGCAGGACAGCACGGTAGAGATGATGAGCAGGTTCCCCAGAAGAGTCAGCAGGAACATGGGCAGCAGGAGCACCAGGAACAGCAGCTCCGCCTTCTGCTCAGGGAAAACCCCAGCAGAACAAACTCAGTCACTGCTGCAGTCCCGTTCCCCATAGGCCTGGTGGGCCTGGCCCAATTCTTCTAACAGAACAAATGGAGATAACACTTAGGAGAGTGCTCAGTGTGTGAAATCTTATGGCTGCTCACTAGAAAAATCTAAACGTAGAACATGATGACTGCCAATTAGACATGTGATCCAAGTTTAGCTTGGCTTTCAATTATTTGCCTATCAAAATGGACAAGATTTTTGAAAATAATAATGTTCACTGTTAGCAAGGGTGTCCTGAGACCTACACTGTCATATAAACTTTCTAAAAGATTATTTAGCAACGTGTATCAAAAACCTTAAAATTGAGTACATTCTTAGATTCAGAATTGTAGTTCCATCCTGAGGAAGCAGTCATGAATATGTTAAATTTTGCCACAAGAATATTCACCACAGAGTTTTTTTTACAATAATGAAAATTTGGTAACAACTTAAATATCCAGGAATGGGGGATGAAATAAACAAATTATGGTGCCTTTAAGCAATAACACATTATGTAGCCATTACAGATTATATTTTATAGTAACATATAAATGACAAAACATTCAAAATGTATTATTAAGTTTTAAAGCATTATTTACATTTTTTTGTTTGTTTTTGTTTCCTTTTTTTTGAGACAGAGTCTCACTCTGTCACCTAGGCTAGAGTGCAATGGCACAATCTCTGCTCACTGGAAACTCTGCCTCCTGGATTCATGCCATTCTCCTGCCTCAGCCTCCCGAGTAGCTGGGATTACAGGTGCGTGCCACCATGCCTGGCTAATTTTTTGTATTTTTAGTAGTGACAGGGTTTCACTGTGTAAGCCAGGATGGTCTCAATCTTCTGACCCATGATCCGCCTGCCTCAGTCTCTCAACGTGCTGGGATTACAGGTGTGAGCCATCATGCCCAGCTAGGTATTTGTTATTATTAGGTCTTCTGTTTGTTTGTTTTTTGTTTTTTTGAGATGGAGTCTCGCTCTGCCAGGCAGGAGTGCAGTGGTGTGATCTCAGCTCACTGCAACCTCTACCTCCTAGTTTCAAGCGATTCTCCTGCCTCAGCCTCCCAAGTAGCTGCGACTTTTTTTTTTTTTAAGTGCAAAAGAGATTTTTGTTTCCCAGGCTGGCCTCTCATAGCCTCACCTCCTCAAGTGCCAGGACAACAGGCCTGAGCCACCGTGCTCCCTATTATTAGGTTTTAAGTGTTTTTAAAGCAAGTTATAAACTTGTAGTGACACTGTGATGCCATTTTGGGGGAGATACGTAAGTTAGCAAAGGTCCTAGAGTAGCCAATAAGACACTGCTGAAGAAGAAAGTCAGGGGAAGGGGCGCATCTTGGCAGATATTGAGACTTATAAAATTAGAATAATTAAGGCAAGATGATATTGGCACAAATATGCATAAAAATGACCAATGGAACAAAATACAGAGCCAAGAAACAAACCCACACGGATGTGGAGCAGTGATGTGTTAGAAGTGAAAGACGCTGGTGCTGCTGCTTGCCCACAGGGGAAAAAGTAAAATTGATTCCCAACCTCATATGAGACACTAACATCCACTCCGGATGAACAAAAAACTTATGTGTAAAAATCAAAACTTTCGCCGGGCGCGGTGGCTCAAGCCTGTAATCCCAGCACTTTGGGAGGCCGAGGCGGGTGGATCACGAGGTCGAGAGATCGAGACCATCCTGGTCAACATGGTGAAACCCCGTCTCTACTAAAAATATAAAAAATTAGCTGGGCATGGTGGCGCGTGCCTATAATCCCAGCTACTCAGGAGGCTGAGGCAGGAGAATGGCCTGAGCCCAGGAGGCGGAGGTTGCGGTGAGCCGAGATCGCGCCATTGCACTCCAGCCTGGGTAACAAGAGCGAAACTCCGTCTCAAAAAAAAAAAAAAAAAAATCAAAACTTTCACAACAAAAGATAGAAGAATGTTGTTTTTAGCCTTAGACTAGAAAAGAACCTACTAAAGAAGACCCAAAAAGTACTAAACAGAAAAGAACATATTAATAAATGAAACTATGTTAAAATTAAGAATTTCTATATATTCAAAGACCCCTCAAATAACGTTAAAGGCAAATAACAAATAGGAAGAACATATTTATGACACAGATGATGGGTAAACTTTAGTACTCATGTAATTAATATTTTGATTCTTACAATGAAGTAAGAAATAGATAAACAATCCAATAGAAAGGTAGGCCAAACATGTTACCCGAACCATTACAGAGGAAGGAAACATAGCTACTAAATATACAAAAAGATGCTTGATTTAATTGGTAATTAGGGAAATATAAATTAAGACACTAGCAAGATACCATTTATATCCACTATATTTTCAAGAAGCAAAAATATGACAATAACAAGTGTTGACGAGGATGTGGAGACGTAACAAATTTACATTGCTAGTGGGAGTGTAAATTTACATAACTGTTTTGGAAAATAATTTGTCATGACCTTGTAAAGGTGAACATTCACATACTTTGTGACCCAGTAATTCTACTCCTAGGTAGAGAAACTTGCACATGTGCCCCAGAAGACAAACAAGATTATGTGTAGGGAAGGCGGAAGGAGGGAGGGAGGGAGGGAGGAAGGAAAGAAGGAAAGATAAAGGGGAAGAGGAAAGGGAGGGGAGGGGAAGAGACATGAGGAGGGAAGGAAAGAAGAGAGGGTAGGAGGAAAGAAGGAAGGAAGGAAAAAAAGAGAAGGAGGGAGCCGGGCGCAGTGGCTCAAGCCTGTAATCCCAGCACTTTGGGAGGCCGAGGCGGGTGGATCACGAGGTCGAGAGATCGAGACCATCCTGGTCAACATGGTGAAACCCCGTCTCTACTAAAAATACAAAAAATTAGCTGGGCATGGTGGCGCGTGCCTGTAATCCCAGCTACTCAGGAGGCTGAGGCAGGAGAATTGCCTGAACCCAGGAGGTGGAGGTTGCGGTGAGCCGAGATCGCGCCATTGCACTCCAGCCTGGGGTAACAAGAGCGAAAACTCCGTCTCAAAAAAAAAAAAAAAAAAGAGAAGGAGGGAACAATGTCCAGAGACAGGAGAATAAATCATGATATCTTACAGAGTTGAACATTATACAGTTAAAAAAAGGAATAAACTGCAGTTCAACCAACACTGAGATGAATTTTCTGGGTTTTTTTTTTTTTTTTTTTTTTTTTTTTTTTTTTTTTTTTTTTTTTTGAGACGGAGTTTCGCTCTTGTTACCCAGGCTGGAGTGCAATGGCGCGATCTCGGCTCACCGCAACCTCCGCCTCCTGGGTTCAAGCAATTCTCCAGCCTCAGCCTCCTGAGTAGCTGGGATTACAGGCACGTGCCACCATGCCCAGCTAATTTTTTGCACTTTTAGTAGAAACGGGGTTTCACCATGTTGACCAGGATGGTCTCGATCTCTCGACCTCGTGATCCACCCGCCTCAGCCTCCCAAAGTGCTGGGATTACAGGCTTGAGCCACCGCGCCCGGCTTTTTTTCTTTTTTTTTTTTGAGACAAAATCTCACTCTGTCACCCAGGCTGGAGTACAGTAGCAGTAGCACACAATTTACTGCAGCCTCAACCTCCCTGGATCAAGTGATTCTCCCACCTTAGCCTCTTGAGAATCTGGGATCACAGGTGCACATCACCATGCACAGCTATCAGGCTGGTGCAAAACTATTTGCAGTTTTGCCATTATTTTTATAGATATAGGATCTCGCTATGTTGCCCAGGCTGGTCTCAAACTCCTGGGCTCAAGCGATCTTCCTGCCTCTACTTCCTAAAGTGTGGGGATCATAGGTGTGAGCCACCACGCTCGGCCTCTTCTTGATACTTTATATATATATTTTGAGACAGAGTTTTGCTCTCATTGCCCAGGCTGGAGTGCAATGGTGTGATCTCCACTTACTGCAACCTCCACCTCCCAGGTTCAAGTGATTCTCCTACCTCTGCCTTCCAAGCAACTGGTATTACAGGCATGCACCACCATGCTCAGCTAATTTTGTGTTTTTAGTAGAGATGGGGTTTCTCCATGTTGGTCAAGCCAGTCTTAAACTCCCGACCTCAGGTGATCCACCCACCTCGGCCTCCCGAAGTGCTGGGATTACAGGTGTGAGCCACTATGCCAGGCCTTCAGTATTTTTTTTTTTTTTTACAATGAACAAATATTCCTTTTATATAAAAGAAGTTAGGCTGGGCATGGTGGCTAATGTGTGTAATCCCAGCACTATGAAAGGCCAATATGGGAGAAGGACTTAAAGTCAGGAGTTTGAGACTAGGCCGGGCAACACGGTGAAACCCTCTGTCTATGAAAAATACAAAAATTAGCCAGACATGGTGCCATGCGCCTGTTGTCCCAGCTACTTCTGAAGCTCAAGTGGGAGAATCACCTGAGCCCAGGAGTCTGAGGCTTCAGTGAGCCATGATCACATACCACTGCACTCCAGCCTAGGTAACACAGTGAGACCCTGTTTCAAAAAGAGAGAGAGAGAGAGAGAGAAAGAAAGAGAAATGAAAGGAAGGAAGGAAGGAAGGAAGGGAGGGAGGGAGGGAGGGAGGGAGGAAGGAAGGAAGGAAAGAAGGAAGGAGACAGAAAGAAAGAAAAAGACAGAGGAGAGGGAGGGAGAGAGAGAAGGGAAAGGAAAGGACGAGAGAGAAGAGGAGGGGAGCGGAGGGGAAGGGAGGGAAGGGGAGTGGAGAGGAAGGAAATATATATATATCCTTTTAGGATAGTTCTTTTAGGATTATACATATATATATATATATATAGTTGGATTGAAAGTGTATGTTAACAAACACATATTGAGCACCAATTATGTTGTGGGGTCTGTGATTGATGAAAGTTTGCAGAGATGGTAAAAAAATTCCCTGCCCTTGCACAGCTCTCAGTCTGAGACATGTGAAGAAACCCGATTTCAGGGAAATCACAGAAACAGAGGAAAAATTAAGGAATGGCAAAGTTTTTTTCACGGATTATTTGTCCTGGGCCATTAGTCTAGAAAGCAACCCAAGTACCAGGAAAACTGATAGATTCCAGGGACAAGGTCAAACAGGAC